GGAATCTAGGTCATGTCTGATTTGCTTACTTTAAAACATTTGGTTTAACTTTATTTAAAGCATATGGTCATTTGTAATATGTCCTGTAATATGTAGGCCTATACCTACTATTATAAAGCTGACTTTCTCCCAATTTAAAGGGTCTGGAATAGTTAATGGAGTACGATCGGTTGTGTTAGGTATGTCTAAAAAAAAGAGTAAAGCTAGAAGGAATTACTGGAGTAGGCAAAGGGAACATATTTTTCATGCCAAAAATAAAACTAATACCTACAGATCCTAATATGCCGTTTAAGTTTACAATAATTCAATTGTCATTGCGATTAGCTTTCGCTATTATGATAAATAAGGCGCAATGCCAAACCTTCACAAAAGTTGGCATTTATTTGAAAAAACCAGTGTTTACTCAGTGGTCAACTTTATGTTATTTTTAGCCAGGTAAAGCGGCCAGACGATGTTAAAATACTACTAGAACCAAATAAAGACTAAGGAATAGATGGATATATGGATACAGTAAAACAGAGAGATTTCGCATTTTACAATTTGGAAGATCACATTATCTCTATGTGTTTTTTCGAAGTGAATTTGTCTATATTCAAGGAAATTTATATAGATCTAATTTAATAGTCATGAAGTAGAAAATTAAACATAATTTATTGGGTTTTAACTCTAGACATTTTTGTAGGTTTTCATTTAATCTTTAACATTATCCCGCAGATAGAGTGCACTTATCCACTTAATTGAATACCATATCATATTTATATGTATTTGTTTGTATCATGTATCATTAATCAAGTAAAATAATCATTATTCATTGGGTTTTGGTTTTAATTCCAGCCATTTTTATTTTGTTTTCATTTCACCTTTGGCCAACATTTCCCTCAGAAATTAGTGTTTTTCAATTTATTTTACGAATTGCATAGTTACAGATATTAGTAAAAGATTTTAATATATTAAGTGTTACATTACGGACCATATTGTTCGTCCCAAATGAAATCAGTCACATGCTTTCATAAATTTATAAGAATGTACGGCTCTTAATAACAGCAGCCTACTCCTGGCTGATATATGCCAGGTCTATAATATAGACCAACTCTCAGAGCCAGCATGAGTGAAGAACACAGTTGCTGTCCCACAGATACATAAGGTTTTTGACCATATAATGTACTTGTATCTGTGGGTCACAAGCCTAGTAATTGAAGAAGTAGAAAATTAAACAAATTTATAGGATTTTAACTCTAGACATTTTGGTAGGTTTTCATTTCATCTTTAACATTATCCCACAGATGGAGTACATTTACCCACTTAATTACCATATCATATTTAGATGTATTTGTTTGTATCATGTATCATTATTCAAGTAAAATAATCATTATTCATTGGGTTTTGGTTTTAATTCAAGACATTTATATTTTGTTTTTATTTTACCTTTAGAATAACATTTGAACCCTCAGAAATGAGCGTTTTTCAAATTATGTTCGAATGTCATTATTACAGATAATAGTAAAACATTTTAAGACATTAAGTGTTATATTACGGACCGTATTGTTCGTCCCAAATTAAATCAGTCACATGTTTTCATAAAGTTATAAGAATGTACGGCTCTTAATAACAGCAGCCAACTCCTGGCTGATATATGCCAGGTCTATAATACAGACCAACTCTCAGAGCCATCGTGTGTATGAGTGAAGAACACTCGACACACAGTTGCTGTCCCACAGATTCACAAGGTTCTTGAACATATAATGTACTTGTATCTGTGGGTCACAAGCCTAGTAATTGAAGAAGTAGAAAATTAAACATAATTTATAGGGTTTTAACTCTAGACATTTTTGTAGGTTTTCATTTCATCTTTAACATTATCCCGCAGATGGAGTACTATACCCACTTAATTGATTACCATATCATATTTAGATGTCATTGTTCATAATTCAAGTGAAAGACTTATCATTCATTGGGTTTTGGTTTCAATTCTATACATTTATTTTGTTTTCATTTCCCTTAGAAATTAGTATTTTCCTAATTTTGTTTAAATCCCATTATTACAGATACCTATTAGTGAACAATATTCATAGTTGGTAAGATACACAAGATATTTGGTTCTTTAAAAGGCACAATTATGGAGTATCGACTATTTGTAGGCCTATCCTTCAAACTGTATCCACCATGGGACAATATTTGTTTCACACAAGTCGTCAAGTGACTTTTGGTTAAATTTTTCTGTAGGCTGGGTTTTGACTGAACAAAACTATATTTCAGCCTCGATCTGACCACAACCCTTGACTAAAAATCAACTAAAAATATTTTTATTGAGTAATTAACAGCAAAACAGCATTGAAAAGAAAATTGGATTCTAACCTCACCAAGCCATACAGTATTCTTTATACAATAAAAGAAGAAAAGTTTTTGTTTTCAAATCTGTACCAAAAGTAACAACAGGCTTGTAGCGCAGTAAACCTTTTCATGATGCTTTTCAGGAGCAAATACTTTGAAACATTGTGGAAGCCAGTTAAAAAATATAGCCTACTGAAATAACTGTATAGTGAGAGGCCTATTTAAAGGAGAATAACATAGTTGGGAAAGTTAGTCAAAAATTCTAACTAGTTAGAAGTTATAAGTTAGTCCCATAAAAAGTAACTGATAGAAATTAAAAGTTAGTTAGTTTAAAAAGTAACTGATAGAAGTTACAGTATTACTGTAGTTAGTTGAAAAACTAACTGATAGAATTAGGAAATAAAGTTAGTTTTAGTAGAAATTAGCTGCTCGTTGGGTAGTTGTTTTAAAGTATTTTTTAATGTCACATCTTGGTTACTAATATATACTATAATATGAGTAAAGATTGCACACGATATGATTTTAAAAATGGCTCCTACGATTTCCTCCAATTTCAATGCTTTTGAAATTTGCTTGTATAATACATTTGCATTGTATGATGTCTTACTAACCAAAGGGATAATTACGACTGTTCAAAAACATTAAGTGTTTTACTGCAAAACAATATACACTGACATTTAACTAAAAATCTAAAGGAAAGGCCACGGAGATTTGTATTTTTCGACGATGCACCACACGAATTGATGCGTTATTACACCATCCCGTAATTACAGTTGCAACGTTCCACAATCCCAGTGACTTGCAATAACGGTCGTCAGATAACAGATGTTATGTATCATGAGTTTTGTATTGATTGAAGATTATTGTGGACATTTTATAGATTGATCATCCAGATTAAAAAGTTTTGTAGACTAAATTGAGGATAAGTGGATGTCTAACAAAAACGAATTGACTTTACTGCTTAATTAATCGTAGTAAGACTGAAAATATTTGTAGGCTTTATTTTTTTTACTCAAGCTCTATTTTTTACCTCTTGAACAAATCAAACACCTCGAGCAAGATCGGTCCCTTGGTACTTGTGTTTTAATGAAACATTGTCACATTTTACATTACTACAACATAAACAAATGACATAAAACTTGTCAGATAATGAACATCAACTAAAGACAATGTTTTGACACTTGAGATGATATATCAATCACCAAACAAACATTTCCCCTTCCCACCCATCAGTGCTTGGGGTGTTGATAATGGCCGTCACTACCCTTCCACAGGCCCACTGCATTCCAAAGCAACTGGACTTTGACTTTCTCTTTCCCCACCCCCCGCGTTGTTTGTCTACAAGGGCACTGACCTCTCACGGCCGCACGCAACCCTCACTGATCACGTGAAATAAATAACCCGTATTTGAGATGCTTCCACGTAATTGGGAAAGTTAGTTGAAAATTCTAACTGGTTAGAAGTTATTAGTTAGTCCCGTAAAATGTAACTGATAGAAGTTATTAGTTAGTTAATTTAAAAACGAACGAATAAAATAGAAGTTCGTAAAATAGAACTAATAGTGCTATTCGATAGAATTTCTATTAGTTATTCCCAAGTATGCTTGTAACTTGTATGGTTTGAAGATTAATTTAAAAATAACAAAAACCCCAATCTCTTTATGAATACAATTAAAAAAAACATTTTTCTTGATTGAATTATTACTTTGTACTGGTTATCTCAGAATTTTTTTTCATCATGCTTTTCAAGAGTAGCAAATACTTCAAAACATCATGGACACCAATACCAAAAGAGAATTAAAATGTTACGATATTGGTAAGGAAGTCATTTCATATGATATGGTAATCAGTTAAAAGTAAAATAATTACGATGGTAATAATAGCCTAATAAATGTTCATGGAAGTCAATCACAAAATATGAAAAAAATTAAAATACACGAGGTTCTGTACAAAAAAATTAAGGTTAAGGATTCAAATCATGATGTTACATGACGACCTTTATAACTTTTTACAAGATAAACCATTAATTGTGCTCAGGATATTTATTTAAAGGGTCACTGCGGGAAAAAATTAGGCCAAAAACAACTTATTATGCAGAGAATGGCCTTCTCTTGCAAAATCGGTCCTGATATAGGAATGTTTTTACTGACACTTAGTAACCATGCTAAAACACATTTGTCCAAGTCATTAAACTCACCGTTCTTACGTCTTTTCTTATAGATTATTCTACCATCATGTCATTTCCTGGGGTTTTCAAAATCTTTGAAATAGGACGGAATTCTTAATTCCCTAGCGATTCCAACAGTTTTCTTAAAATCATCGTCAACTGCCTTAATCACTCTTCTTGTTCCGTTGTGCGATTTTTGCCATGCTTAACTTAAATGACATATGACATCTAACATACACAAAATTATCTCAATAATTGGCGGTCTAACATTGCATGTATGAAAACTGAGATAACTTGAACCCTAAAAGAATACTCCGACCAAAAAGTCAACTATCAATCGTTTGAAAATACGAAACGTTCAAAAATTGGTAGCCTATCGCTCATGATGTGAGGAATAATCTGTTGTACGTAGGCATGTTTTTTTCAGTTCTAAAAGGGACACTTTTCTTTAAATTCGCAAACTACGAGGTTATGCTACTAAAAGTACCAAGTTATGTACTTACCAGCTTGGCCCCCTTCTTCCTACCAATAGGAAGAGCGTAGTGAGACTCGTACCACTGTCTGAAAGGTGTGGCATCAATAACAACGATTGCATTCTTTACCAATGTCTTGGTACGGACCAGCTCGTTATTGGAGGCGTTGTACACAACATCAATAACACGTGTTTTGCGAGTGCAGCCTGAAAATTAAAACAGGAAATGTTCTATTAATAGGGATTAAATTTTTTTAGCCCAATAGCAAACATGCAATATTTTGGTAACATAGGTAGGCCTACATTTTGTTTTTATTCAATCTAGGCTACTGCACAAGGCCTGTGAAGTTACTGTAATTTGAAAGCGATCTGATATGCAATCACATAACTTACTGAATTACAATTTATTTGTGTCGATTTACATAAATAAACTCATTCACTCATTTAAAAACGGAGACACTACTAGTTTTCTCCATTACAAGTGATCCAACACGGGTTTTTTGTTAATGGCAGCGGCCATTTTTGTTTTGCAAAAAATATTTTTTTTGTAGGCCGAAGTTATATCAAGGGTTGCATTAAGTTAACTGTAGGCTACAACTCAGAAACCATTAAGTTACTCTGTACCTCTATTTGAAAGGTCCTATTTTCCCTCCACAGGGCTATATCAAATTTTACAGACTAGGCCAATTTAAAATATTAAATTAGCTATGCTAGGCCCAAGCCATTTTATATTTGCCAAAGTAAAAGTTCTTGATGTCAACTCACATTCCGAGCCCCAAGAGAAGTTTCCATGGTCTAGACGCAGAGCTCTGTACTTCTTGTTTCCACCCCTAGTTCTTACAGTGTGGATTCTACGAGCACCAAGCTGAAAATTGCAACACATAAATTAAAGACATTATATTTTACTTTAGGAAAAAGTTAAAATTAAACTGTGCAAGTTTGATAGGTAAGTTTAGGCTTATGGCCAACCTTAATATCCAAGGACAGGAATAATTTGAACAAGTGCGGAGAAATCACTTTTGGTTCAAGTTAATGAGTTACATTCCACCTGTTGTAACTTAAAAAATCCATATTTCGATTTGAACATTTATAGATTGATACAGTAGTCTAAGTTATTTGATTTTTCCTCCTCTAAATTAAGAACTTGGGACACAATTATTTTCTTTGAGATCCGATGTCATCAAATCATAACTAACTTACGGGGTGCTGAAAAGAAAATTAGGCTAGGTTCTTGTCTCGTTTATGTATGATTTTGGCACTTTCATTGACTTGTTGGATAATTTACTGAACTATCTATCCAGACTTGGAAAAACTTTAATCATTGGTGGGGATTTTAATGTTCATATGCAGGATACATCAGACGAGGAGGAGAACTTCACCAACCTACTGCGGACTTGGGGGCTCTTCGTGGGAAACAGATACCCGACTAGGAAGGAGTCCAGCCTGGATACCATTGCAACAAACCTGGATAAACCATTGTACAAAGTAAATATTGTGGAACCTTTGGTCTCGGACCATTCTGCGGTTCTACTGAGTGTCAAGACGCTACCGGTGAGTCAAATTTCTTATCCTGCATGGTGTGCCAAGTACGACATGTTTTTTAGGCCTATTAAAGAGGAGCGTTTTCCTGACCTAAGAAGGAAACTTGAAGGTGTGAAGTGGGCGTCTGTTATAGGAGGTAAGGACCCTTTGCTGGACTTTGATAAATTATTTAATGTACTTGTTGAAAGTTTTAATGAAATTTTCCCAGTTAAAATTAAGTCTAAGGCTAGAAAAGAAGTCGATAAGGTAAAGAGGGACAAGTCTTGGTACACTCCAGCTCTCCAAGACCTAAAAAATGTTGTAGTTCTCCTCTTTGACTATTACAAGGAGGCAGTTGATCCAGCTGTAAAGGAAAGATTTTACCGAGATTACCTTAGAGCTAAGAAGCTATATAGGTCTAGGATTAATGAAGCAAAGAAACTAGGTAATGAAAATTTCATTAGGGGAGCACACAACCCATGTAAGGCTGCGTGGGAAATTATAAATAGCCATCGTAGAAATCCAAATAAAAACTTGATCAATGCTGCAAGCCCAGATGAATTTAACAGTTTCTTCATTAACTCGGTAGATGCTATCTTAGGCCAAATTCCCCAGGCTGTTGGCCGACCTGAGGATGAAATTTCCCTTCCCCCAGGTTTCAATGCAAAGTTAGCTTCATGGAAAACTGTCAACCCTGATGATGTAAGGAATATTGTGAGGAAAGTAAAAAGGTCTACTAGCCAGGATTTTTATGGCATGTCCTCAGTGGTTTTGAAGGAAATTGTCGATCTTATCGCTGGTCCCCTCTCCCATGTTATTTATTAATGGCTCCCTGGCAGCCGGTGTCTTCCCTGAATGCTTGAAGCTTAGTAGAGCAGTGCCTATTTTCAAAAAAGGCAACCCTGAGGAACTGAAAAATTATAGGCCTATTTCCCTGGTTCCTGTGATAGGCAAGATAATTGAACACATTATCCAGAAGCAGCTGGCGGACTTTTTCGAGGATAATGGCCTAATGTTGAATAGGCAGTTCGGTTTCAGGAGGGGCCGATCAACTTCAGACGCAGTTATGGTTCTAGCTGAGGAAATCAAAAACGCCTTTGAGGCAAGGGACAGTGTTTCAATCACGCTTTGTGACCTCAGCAAAGCGTTCGACTGCGTGTCGCAAAGTTTACTGCTGGAAAAACTGAGTCGCTATGGTGTTGAAGGAGCTGCACTAAAGACCATCAAATCTTATCTTGATAATAGATACCAGGTTGTCACAGTTGGTGGTGCCACATCTGGTCCACGCCAGGTTTGTCACGGAGTCCCTCAGGGCTCGGTCCTGGGCCCTCTTTTGTTTCTGATTGTTGTGAATGACCTCCATCTCCAGGGCAGAGCACTCCTGTATGCTGATGACACCTCAATAATAACTAGAGGGAAAGTTATAAACCAAGTTCTGATAGAGGCAGAAGCTGCACTGGATGCTGCTAAAATCTGGTTTGCCAGAAATCGGCTACAGTTGAATGGAGACAAGACCCAGAGGATGTTATGCACTTTAAGCAAAACAATGAACATTGATCAGCAAAGCAGCGTGAAATTGCTGGGCTTCAGCCTAGACCCTAAGTTTACCTGGGAACAACATATCAGTGATGTATGTGTTAAACTCTCCCGTGTGGTTTTTCTTCTGTGGAAACTTAGGGGGTCATCACTGATAAATATTTGATAAATGTAGGCCTATATCATGCCCTATTTCAAAGCCATATTAGATATGGAATCCTGCTCTGGGGACATGCTCCTGGCTGCATAAAAGTGCTTCGTCTGCAGAAGAAGGCAGTCAGAGTGCTGTCAGCCGCTGGTTATAGAGACCACTGTAAGCCCCTATTCGCCAACCTTAAGGTTATGACCATCTTCAGCCAATATGTTTATTACGGCTTGATTAATCTCAGGAATAACATAGGTGAATATCAACAGAGGGGTGATCTCCATAATCATGACACCAGGCATGCACAGAAACTTGACATTCCTCGATGCAGGTTATCAAGATCCTTGGCAGCCCATCCCATCCCAGCCATGCGATTCTACAACATGTTGCCGCCTCGGGCCCACACTGAAGACATGAAAGCTTTCTCCATGCGGATTTTTAACAAACTCACAAATGAGCCGCTGTACTCTTTTGAGGAAGTGTCTGGCGAGTACTTCTCGAATATATAATATGCACCGCCATCACTAGTTTTTGTAAATATTGGTTAAATAAGAATGTTATTTTTTTTATTAGTTTTATTACTGTTGTTTTATTTGACGCAGTCTATCCAACAAGTGTTGGGCAACGACATAGGAGTTGGTAATGGTAATGGTAATGGTATGCTAAAATGGTAAAAATTTATAAGCAAGTCCTAATCACATGACTTAACTTAACTAACTTAAGTAAGTAAGGCATGTATTCAAACACCCAATTTATCAATCGAGAGGGCTTAAGTTAAATTGTTAAGTTAAAAAACAATCAAAACTTCTACAAAGTTGAAATTTACAGATTCAGCATAAAATAAAACAGTCAAACAAATCACAAATGTGTGTCGGGTAGCCTACAACTTGCTTACCTTAGACACTAGGCCTTTGTAACTCTAATGATAAGCTAAGTTGACTAACCTTGGTGTTGGCAGCTGGTCTTCCTAACTCAAACTTCCTCTTCTTCCTGATTGGCTTCCTCTTGCCACCAGTCGCCCGCCGCTTATGCCAGTGGTCGCGAGATATACCTGAGAGCAATTTGAATCATAAACATTTCATCCAACTTAAAGAGTCTGAAGTGGTAAGTAAACATTAGGCCTGAGCAATTGATACCTTAACTTATAATAGAGTTTACAAACTTTACCTCCGTCAAGCGGAAAAGATTACCTTAACCCTCTGGGTGCCCATCAAAAAATCTTAAATGTCATGCCATTTTTGGCAGTTTTGCTTGCATAACAAACGCTCTACCAAATTTATAAAATGGGCTAGGCCTATTAAGTTTATCTTAAAATATAAAAATTGCTAAGTGTACCTTTCTGTTAGATTCAATAGGTGTAGGCTATATGTTCAAATACAAACAATTCAAATTTAACTTTTTTAAAAGGTTACGAAATCCGTTAAGTACCTCCTACTTAGCCTACATAACTTATTTTAGGCACTAAAAATAAAAAAAATTAAAGATATAAAATTTGTTAAGAATTTAAGGAACAAGAAATTGTATTTAATAAGTACCTACTTTACAGGTAATATGGAAAAATTAAATAGGCTATTATAATGACAAAAAAACCAAAACATGACATCTTGGGTTCTTACCTTAACCCCATAAGGATAACAGTAAAATTGACTGACAGACATATCACCACTTATCACTCATATTTGACATTAAAAACCTATGAAATATACTAGGCCTATTTAACTTTTAAAAATGCCTCCTAATAGTAACTTAATAAGAGCAATTTGGAATTAGGTTCAACCTTAAAATTGTCAGTTTCCAAAACCTAAACATCAGAAACCTAAGAGCATACAGCAAAGGTCATGATGACACCAAAACTTTGAACATAGGCCTATGGGTAATTCCATATCAGTTCAACCAGGCCATCTCACCCACCATCTCAGAATTTGATGAAACTTGGCTTGTTTGTTCTAACCATAAAGATAAGTCACCATACCAAATTTTAACTCAATACCTCTTACCGTTTTTTTTTTATAGCCCTTCAAAGTTTTTCATTTCCGCTAGTGCTAACCATCCGATGTCGCGGAATAAAACTCGCTTACTTTTAGAAAATAATTTATAACTTTTATGTTTACTGAACAATCTTCATGAAAATTCATGTACTTATTCTTTAAGACATGAGGATTCCAGAAAAAAATACTAATACCTCTTAGTTTAATGTAATAAGGCTGAAAAAAATTTCTAGTTTGTACCTATGAATTTTTAAAACGCGGAGACATAGTTTAGCGTAAAATGGATTATCTAGGAAAGGGTATGAGATAAACACAAAAACCTTTTTTTACTAATAATCCTTATTAAATTAGCTATCAGATGCTGCAAAAAAATTCATGGGGTTTTAATACCTTCATTGTTTTTTATTAAGTTAAATATCAAATTATTAATTTTTTTTTCGTTTTATTTTACAGAACTATAAGGATTTCAAGGAATTAAAATGACCTAGACTTAAACACTGTTATAAAGAACTTGATAATGATTATTTAGTACTAAATTAAAATCATGATATTTTAACCCATAACTGTCTCAAGAACTTATATTTTATACTAACTTAACACCATAATAATTAAAATTAGGAACAATAATGTCTTGTACTTACATGAATATTTCATTTATTAGAATCTTAATTACATTCAGTAGATATGTACAAATAATTTAAGTTAATGGAGTTTTGAAAATTTCTCTTCAATTGATCTCATACACTTTTCTGGAAATTTGTATGTTCTTCCTGTAGCAGTGTCTGGTGGATCAACAATTGCCAGTACATGCGGAACTGGTACAGGGCAAATGTCCTCGCGCTTAGGCCATTGAAATGATGGGGATGGCCCTGCAGGATGCATAAACTGTACTGTCACATCACATTCTTCTATATTAACTTCAGTTATCACTCCGAAGTACCATCGATCGTCATATATACAAGCCACGTAGCTTGATGGGCTTAAATGTTCTTCTGCCACAATCGGTGTTGATTTACTGTTTAAGTTAAACAAGAGAGTAGGTTTCTCATCACTAGAAATCCTCCTTGTTTCCAAGTTCCCTGAACTGTCTAGTGGCTTGAAGTTGTGGAAACTTCGTGTTCCTGGGACTGTTTGCACGTCTTCAAAGCGTTTTTCCAAGAAAGAACGAACGTTACACATATCATCTTTGGAAATAAAAAAAAAATTAACTTTGGTAATTTTTGATTTACAAAAATCAAACAAATGTGAAGGAGTCAGAATCTGATCTCCGAGAGGCCTCTGTAAACTTTCCTTTCTGGCTAATCTTTTTACTGTGCCTCCAATTCCATCACATTCGGTTTTGCCGTGACTTGTAGCAAAAAATGACCATTGTGCCTTTATATTAAAATCTTTTTCATGGAGGCAGAGGTTAAAAAAATTGAACTTATTCTTATATTGGCCGGCACATCCGTCACTGAAATAATGGATTTCAGTTACATGTGAATACTTTTCTTTGATGAATTCTGTCACAATTTCTTGGATTTTGTACACCATAGAAACGTCATGCTTCATATCATCAGATATTATACAGAGAGATAAGACTAACCTTTCACCTGTTGCACTAGTTAGATTAATTATGATAGGATGTATAGTACACGAGTCGGATGTCCAGTGGTATCCCTGGGCTTCATCCTGTATTGTGAAAGAGTAATTTTCACTGAAGTCCATTGAAACTACAGCATCATTTGCATCAGAGGATTCTTTTAGGGTTTTAAAATATTTTGATTGTGACTTTGCAATGAAGGAGTGGGGAATAAGTTTCTCCAATTTTGATGATAGATCTTCAATGAAGTCTTCAACTTTTGCTGTTTGAGTTATCATTTGGGTTCTGTCAGTTGATATCCACTGATTAAATTCAATGTTGTCGTCTTCATCATAATCTTCAAATTTTGTTAGCAAAAAGCTTGTTAGATTTTCTTTAGGAGGGCAAAGGTTACAGTGTCGTAACATACACTCACGACTTGGGTTTTCACACACCAACATTTTTGTTAGATCTTTGTAGCTTTCATCGAAGTGTGCAGCATGGATCATTAAGATCACATTCTGGTGTATAGTACATACACATACTGAGTGGGTGCCGCTGGCACCAGCCAAGATACACCATTTTGGGCGGAGTGAACAGAACTTTGAAAAACCCACTTTAATTTCTGGATGATCTTTTTTAAAATTTGAGTAAATTTCATGTAGATTCCCTAAAACTAACCTCTTTCTTTCATATTGTTTTTTTCCTATGCTCACGACATCTTTCATTCCAGGTAAAACCCTAGACTGTTCGTCACTTTGGTAATATTGTTTTATCAACTCAACTACTTCAGGTTTAAGATGTTTTCCTCTTTTTGAGTCTGGTTCTGCTAACAAGCCTTTTTCTCTAAACAGTTTCTGTGCTTGTCTCACAGAATAGTCTGAAACCTGAAAAGTGTCTTTTATTCGTTGCCTTGACCAATTTAATGAAGCTGGTATAGTGAGTAGCTGAATCTGTGTTTTCTTCTTCTGTGTCAAATGTAGATCATCCTTTATGTTATTGATTAACTTGTCCATATCTGCAGCCTTTTCTTCAACAGTCTTTTCCAAAGTTCTTTTATCTTCAGGTACTCCAACGTCAAGAACCAACTCAATTTTTCTTTTCACGCTTTCCTGTAATTTTTCAATTTTTTCTTTGGCATATTTTGGCTTACTGTGTTCATTTAGAGCATGAAGTTTCAAGGGTGAGCAACCTACTTCTGTTAATGATGTATTTAAAGAAGAAATTACCTCTTCTTTTTGTAAATCAGGGTAATGCACATCACAATCTTCACACTGTTCACTATCACTATCAGTACATTCATCTGTTGTGTTTTGAGCTTTAAACAATGTTTTTCGACAAGAGGCACATAGTTTTTCTCCTGGTTTTATTTTGAACCCCTTTAAAATTAATACTTTGCTTTGCTGTACAGTAACTACTCTCAGTGTTTTTGTTATGGGTTTCTTATGTTTCTTGTATGGATCGCAGCATTTCTTTTGTAAAAATTCAAATTTATTCAAAAAATAATATTTATGGTGAAAACAAATAGTACCACCATCATCCTCTTTCCCAGTTCTTAGCTTTATTAGATTTATTTCTTCTTCAGATAAGTTATTGACATTTTGGGTACCTTTATTTTTTATGAAACTTGTTTTGTGGCATTCAGTTAATGTTAAATCCCCTATGCTGCATTTAACTTCCATTTTATATCTTAGTATAATATAAATTTTCTTTTAAAAATACAAAAACAAACACTAGTTTCATACATAACTTATATTAAAATAATACTGTAAGATAAACCACACTATATAAATTATCTTGCACAATACTGCACTAAACACTTGCACTACAATGTTTTATGTTGCATCAAGGAGCACCAGATACTGACTGAGCAAAGTCCTCCCAATAACAGTACAACAATAGAATTGCATGTTAAAGGTGCATTGTCCCTGAAGCGACTCTTGCGATAGTAGCTGAGCGACAGTAGCTGAGCGATAGTAGCTCAGCGATAGTAGCTAACCATGTCATTGTCCCTGAAGCGATTGTTCTAGAGCGATTCTGTATATTAGTTTGCAGACTTTCGAGTGAATTTGTGTTATAAGTGCCATGATACCTCCTAATTTTAAAACGTTTTTATTAGCTCGCTTTCTTGTCCGGTACAAACTTTGCAATAAATTTTAAACTAACTTCCCGACGAGCTATAAAAATGAAACTAGAGAACACAGCTCACAAATGGATGACAATGTAATACTATATGATTTAATTACTTTTCATATTTTCCTTGGGCTAAGCCCCATGGGCTTCCAAATTTTCTATGTCTACATTTTGAAGTCAGCCGTAAATACTTAAATTTGACAGGTCGAAAAGCTTGGGTAGAGGTACAGGTTCTGCTGCCGAGAGATTCTAAATATAAAATAAGCAGTTCAAAGGAAATATAAAACATATGACTACAGATAATAAGGGTTTGTTATGTATTAACATGCCATATAAAATAGATTTAACATATTTACACATTAAAGACTAAGAAGTAAAAAATAAATTATAAATCAAAATACTTTTTTTAATGCCACGTTTTTAAACGCACTAAAAAGTAAAAATAGTTTATAAATATGTGGAGGGAATAAATACTTAAAAGATTTAAAACGAAAAACGTGGGGTACATGCAATAGATAATAATAGTTCAATAGGTAAAGATAATAATTGTAAATCAGCATGCGCCCCACGTTTTTTTAATCGTTCAAGTATTTATTCTCCCCACATATTTATAAATTATTTTTTAACTTTATAGTGCGTTTAAAAACGTTGCATTTTTAAAAAGTATTTTCATTTATAATTTATAATACGACCAAAACAAGTCTATACTCAACACAAATCGCTCAGCGACTGCGACTCTGACTCCCCTCAGAGCAGACCCGCTACAGTCGCTGTGTTCAGCCGCTAGCCGCTCCAGTCGCAGTCGCGTCAAGGACAATGGTCACATTTGAAACAACGCTAACCAGTGCTCAGCTACTATCGCTAAGCTACTATCGCTCAGCTACTACCGCAAGAGTCGCTTCAGGGACAATGCACCTTAAGACTTGAAAAAACCCTGTTGCCACTTGCTCAGGAAGCTCAGGCTCCAAAGTGTGCTGACTAGGAAAGCCTGTTGTTACTTGCTTAGACAGCTCAAAGGCAGTATCTTATAGTTCATATATTTTAAATTACTAAAAATTATTTTATATATTATTTTATTTTTATTTCAATATAAAATGAAGTTTTTGAAACAGTTAAGAGGTTGAAATATGACTAAATTAATTTAGTAAATTAGAAACATTTTGTAATAGTGTATAGGGCAAGTTTTAATTCCTTAAAATTCTTAAATAGTTCTGTAAATGAAACAAAAAAAAAAATTAATAATTTGATATTTAACTTAATAAAAAACAATGAAGGTATTAAAACCCCATGAATTTTTTTGCAGCATCTGATAGCTAATTTAATAAGGATTATTAGTAAAAAAAGGTTTTTGTGTTTATCTCATACCCTTTCCTAGATAATCCATTTTACGCTAAACTATGTCTCCGCGTTTTAAAAATTCATAGGTACAAACTAGAAATTTTTTTCAGCCTTATTACATTAAACTAAGAGGTATTAGTATTTTTTTCTGGAATCCTCATGTCTTAAAGAATAAGTACATGAATTTTCATGAAGATTGTTCAGTAAACATAAAAGTTATAAATTATTTTCTAAAAGTAAGCGAGTTTTATTCCGCGACATCGGATGGTTAGCACTAGCGGAAATGAAAAACTTTAAAGGGCTATAAAAAAAAAACGGTAAGAGATATTAAGTTAAAATTTGGTATGGTGACTTATCTTTATGGTTAGAACAAACAAGCCAAGTTTCATCAAATTCTGAGATGGTGGGTGAGATAATCATTTTTCGTTGGTTGAGTTGATGTGTAATGACCCCTATGTTTGCTTCATAACAAAGAGTAAACACATCTAAAACTTTAAGTTAGGCCTAGGTAAAAATTCAGTTTCCAGAACTCACCTAAAACGCACTTCCTGAAGTGTGGAACTGTGTAAAGAGTGTTAAATGGCGTTTTGGACTTTAGTGAGGGGCGGAAAAGGCATTAAAAACTGTAAATATGGCCGAAAATGTTAATTTTGTAAGTATGTACATTGACTATCTAGGTAGGCCTACACCAATTTACACAATTCCACACTTCAGGAAGTGAATTAAGAACCTAACTAACAATAAACAACTCATACAAACACATACGCAATCAACGCCTTTTAAGAGTCGATGACGCAATCAACGCTGTGGAGGGTAAAGCTGGCCGGCAGCTTTGAAAAATGGTGGATGCGTTCAAGCGGTGAATAACGCTGTTTGAACTGGAATTTGGCCAAATATTCCATGCAGTATTTTTAACAAATCCCATACTGGGGGATGGTTGCCCAAACACCTCAATATTGTTTATGTGAGCACCAGTCTTGGTATCTACGAAGTTCACAGAGTGGTTGACTTAGAATGCCTGAACCCCTCCTGGCCTAGACAGTCGTACGCCTGGCAGCAGTCGATTGTTGTGCCAGAAAGGATCCACTTGCAAATCAATGTCAGCAAAGTCAAAGATCCCTTGATTCTGTCCCCTACTAGTGATTAGAAATTATTGCTGGTATAAAACCGATTGTAAAGGAGCCTCGGCATAAAAAAAGTTATTTAAAAAAGCGAGTTGTAATATTGATGTCAAGGGACATTTTAAGAACGTTTTTAAGTGCGTTTTAAGTTAGGTGAGTTCTGGAAACTGAACCAAACTAAGTAGACATTGAATTCAAGCTTAGAATCTGCTTTCCATAGACTTCAAATTCAATCCAGTTCAGTACAACTGTGGAGTTCATTCAGAGCAAGTTTTGAAGCGTCTGCAACATACTGTAATTGGAATTCCGACCATTGACACTTGGAGGGAAGGACCTAACTTAACTTAAGAACAAAATTGATGAATAAAACCTAAAGTAACTTAAGCCTAGCCTAGGCATTGCTGGACAAAATTTTTTAATAAGCAAGTTATATGCCCAAATAATTAACATTTGAAAAAATTAAAAACTTGGAGGGTGACTAGCCTACGGAAGTCACTAAGTTTAACTTAACCCTCCAAGTGTCCATAGTTTAGGCCTTAATGTCCACCTATTTTTGGCGCATTTGCAAGGTTTTATTAAAACGGATCTGAGAAGCTTAAAAAAATGTTAATTCTAATGTTCTATATACCATTTTGTTTGGAAAATCATGGGCTTCAATATTATATATAAAACATAGGTAAGGAACATTTAAAAAAAAAAAAAATTTTTAGGTAAAAAAAATAGCCTATAATTTCGAAAACTTTCAAAAAAAAAAATAAGTTCGCGCTCAATGAAATTGTATAAATTATAGGCCTATAAATATTTGGAAATAGCCACTTTGTTCTAAATTTTATGAGGATTACAAATATATAATAATATAAGGAAGTAGATTTGCAAATAAATAAGTTATGGGCAAAAAACTGATTTCAGTACACAGCGTTTAGCTAAGAATGCATAGCCTAACCATAGCTAGGAATCTGGCTGATAATTTACATCAATATCACTACCTACTTCTTCAGGATCATCAACCAGCACTTCAAAACCACTTAAATCTTCTTATAATGCACCACGTATATCACTACTTTTGATTTTTAACACTAAAACAATGATAAACGTAATAAAACACATCAGTCATCGGTCCGGGGGAACCTAGCTGTTTACAAATACACGCACGTCAGCTGTCTACTACAATATTTTCGGAACTAAAATGAATAGCGCTTAGAGACAGACCTCTGGAGAAAGCTTAGAATATTACGGAAAGAACGATACCTAACTCGATCCAGTTCAATCCGATTCAGTCAGTCATAGAGCCTTCGCCGTAAACGATGTCTGCGTGTCGAAAAATCGACAAGTAACACTACACAAAGTGTGCTGCTTGTCGAATTTTCGTCAAGTAACACTGGGAGGGTTAAGCACTGAACATTTTGTCTTTAAAATAATTTTTATAGGCTAGCCTAATTGCTAACTTAGGCCTAGCTATTGAGATAAGTTAATCCTGTCTTGAACAACTCTTGGAGGATTAAGAGAAGATAGGCCCTACCTGAAAATAACTTTGACGACCATGGCTGGAAAGCTACTAAGTTAGTGGGATCAACACAAGTATACAATCCTAACTAACATTTCTCTCAAGAGAATGCTGGTGTAACATAGCAAATAATAGTCATGTCATACCTTAAATCTTTAAAGCCATTTAGCCTAGGCCTACTGATTTGTCACAATTTCCAGAAGTTTAGCACCTTTGTGTGCACAGTGGCATTCTGACTAAGTTACCATGGGACGCAAGTCTTAGAGTTACTGTAATTGATTCGTAAGCAGGATAATCAGAGGAAACAAAATTAGTTGGACTAAATTTCGGCTACATATAAATTACTTGTGGGCTAACCTAAGCCCAGCAAAGTTAAATCATGAAGAGTAAAATCTGATAACTATATAGCCTTACCGGTAAATTAAGTACCGATTGTCCAATTAACACTGAGCTTAAAATTATGTACTTTAATTTTGAGGGAAGCATGAATGGTTTTGAATAAAGTACCATGGTCCACAAGAAGTGCCTTGTGATGAATGTTAGGTTATGGTTATGACAGTATGTATAATACCTTAAATATAGGGAAGCAAAAGTTATTGTTTGAGACTGAACATATAGATAACATTATTTACGACTACATAAATACGTTTTGATTTTTATTGCAAGATTTCGTAGATACAAATGGATAAAAATAACAATTTCACATCACAAGACAACTCACCCATCTTGACTCCGACCGGAAAGAAAAAGGAAATAACAAAGTGACGGGAAGGTTGGTAGCATGGGGAAAAAACAAGGAGGAAACAGAAGACGCCAACACCTAAAACAAAATATTGCCGCAAAAAGTAATAGCATTGTTTTTAGTTTGCACAATTATGTTTGGTAGTCAATGGTGTTAGTAAATAAAATAAAATAGACACAAATGTAATACGGATGTAATACTTTTTATAAATCTGTGTACACAATCACTGTAATAAATAGTTATTTATTTATTTCTTCCAACGGTTTCTCCATTATAGATACAATTTTGTCTAAAACTAGATTTACAAGATAGCAGAGGCTGATTTTTGTAAATATGTAATTCATGCTAATTCAAACTATAAACTAAAACTAATAAATAAGTGGCGAATAAATAAATTATTGTCAGAGATTGATCATAAGCATCGTCAGTTATTGGAGCAAACCACAAAATACGCTCGGCAATGAAAACCCATCTAAAGATAGTAAGTATACAGTAATTAGCAAGGAAACCTAAAAGGGTAATTATTGCCAACCAGTTAACTACGATACCCTGATACCCACAAATATTAGAACAGATGTCTATCTTGGCTAGCGGTGCAACTCACTCACAGCTTGGTGCAATTCATAACATCCCTGAATAATTCAGCTTTGTATTGTAGGCAATTTTGTAAGAAAGTTCGTTGTATGTTACCTACTTCTTACTTCGTTATCCAATGGTTATAGTTCCAATGGCAAAAATGTTATCCATTATCATATTGTATACCATCTACGTGTTTCTACAATTATAAATTCTTGATACGTAAAAAAATAAAATAGCTCACAAATAATCCACTCGTCTCAACCGTCACCTCAGTTGACCAAATGATTAATAGATTGATCGTCCTTTTGCACCAAGCCCTACCGCTGATTGGTGACCCCCACTCGAGCTATATATAAGTTACATTTGAATTCTCGCTTGAAGTTGAGAATACCAATACTGTATAATCACTGAGCTACAGATACACCAACTGGAGGTAGAACTGAATTAGAGAATATATGACTCCACTCCAATAACTCAATAACTCGTTTATTAAACCAAAGTAACAAATACAAATTTGCATTAGTCATGTACCTGTGTAGAAAAAAGGGACCAAAGGACAGTACTGTAAGTTACAGACCAATATCTATCATCCCCATCTTTGGTAAGGTGCTTGCTGAAGCAGTCATGTTAGAGCAGCTGTACAGCTACTTTGAGAGGCATCGCCTTATTGTACCCGCTCAATTTGGCTTCCAAAAAGGAAAGTCCACCGTTCACCCATGTAGCACAGATGGTTGGGCCAACGTTGGTAAATTGTGGAGCCACACAGTTGGCCAACGGTAGAAATGTCACCTCTTTAAACTGTTTTCCAGCCAACCATTGTCCAACCGTTTTATTTCACACAAAATAATAAAGATTTAGTACGAAAAGCATAATTATTAGTTGAGTAAATTGATTAAATAGTTCATAAAAACAAATTTTGAAAAAAAACTAGAACAAAATTTTTTGGCCCAGACGGGTCTCGAACCCGGGTCCTTCGACTTATGAGCCTCTTACTTTACCACTGAGCTATCTGTGATTGCTGATATAGAGAGTTTTCAAGTGGTGAAAGAGTAGCCGACAGTTGCAATGGTCGCAATACTTCAAACATTTTTGATACTACACAGTATAATATGATTCTGTTAATCTGTTAAGGCATTATAAGTAGTTTTTTTTTTTTGGAGTTAGAGAGGATACTGGTATTTGAATGATTAATTAATTACCGTTAGATTGTTAATGCTATTATAATTGCCTGTTATATGATTAATTACTCTTTCCCCTTAAATTGTTGCAAATAAGTTAAAGAATATTAATTTAAAAAATATTTGCATTATTAAAATTATTAAAATTCATTGTTGTAGCGCCGGAACTGTAATATATAAAATATCTGGTTTTACAATACCTTTATCAGTTCCAAAAACTTTTGGAAACTTTTGGAACTGATAAAGGTATTGTAAAACCAGATATTTTATTATAATTATGTTGTGAAAGCTAGACCCAGAGAATGAAAGTCGTGTAAACTCAACTATGGACCATTGTTGGTCCAACAAAAGTATCTTTTGTTGGTCCAACGGAGTGAAAAACGGTTGGACAACGGTTGGCTTGATGTATGATACCCAGCAATGCATATTAATGTATTTCATTAACAATGAACCAATGTTGGTCCACAGTTGTAAATATTGGTTGGCCCAACTACAAGATATACAGTTGGACAACGGTTGGTTGGTTGTGGAAGCTCCAACCAACCATCGACCAACTGTCCCACAGTTGGCCAACGTTGGCCCAACCATCTGTGCTACATGGGCAGGCTGTGGACTGTCTTGTTCAAGAAATCTTAAATGGTCTAGAGATTAGAAATTCTACTTCTGTTATAATGTGTGACCTATCCCGCGCTTTTGACTGTGTGTCACATAGTCTCCTGTTGTCAAAGCTCGAAAGGTACGGGGTACGAGGCGATGCTCTCTCATTGATTAAATCTTATCTTGAAGGGAGGTCTCAAGTTGTGACTTGGAATGGTAACTCTTCCAGTCCTCTGATGGTGAACAATGGAGTCCCGCAAGGGTCTATTATGGGTCCCTTCCTTTTTGTAATCTCAATCAATGACTTGTATCACAGTGTTGCAGGCAATGTCCTGCTATATGCAGATGATACAACTCTCTTTTCTAGTCACTCAGATTTTTCTGTATCTAAAGTTGCTGTGCAGGAATTATTAGATGTAGCTTCTATCTGGTTTCGCAACAATAAATTATGCCTGAACCAAGCCAAAACTCAAGACATCACTTTCAGTCTTTCTAGGGAACTGAGGGAAGAAAACACTGTAAAGCTGCTGGGCTTCACCCTTGACCCTCAGCTTGATTGGAACGATCATATTGAAATCCTGTGTGGTAAGCTAAGTCGTGTAATCCATTTGCTCAGACGGTTGAAGGCTGACATGCCATTTGAATTTGTTCGACTTGCGTACTTTGCTTTTTTCCATGCTCACATTCTGTATGGCACTAGGCTCTGGGGTCACTCCCCTGGAGTGCAAAAAGTCCTAAAACTACAGAAGAAAGCTGTCAGGGTCTTGTGTGGAGTCCATCAGCTTGAGCATTGTAAACCTCTGTTTGTTCAGCATGGTATAATGCCTGTACACAATGTATTTATTTACCAATGCCTGTTAGAGATTAAGAACAATATGAATCAGCTTTTCCATTGGTTAATAATGTTCATCATTATAGCACTAGGAACAATGAAAATATTTTTAGAGATAGAGTTAGACTAGATTTAACTCTCAACTGCTTTCCTGTTGCAGGAATAAGGTTCTACAATGCCTTACCCATAACTGTAAGACAACTCTTACCGAACAAGTTTGCGACCACACTAAAAGCTTGGATGCTTGCCAATCCATTCTATTCCATAAAAGAGTTTTGGAATGCACAGCTTGTTACTATTGGGTTGAACCCACAGTAGTCCAATAGAGGTATTACAAAAATGTAAATTTATTTATTTTTCTCTGCCTTGCATATATGGCTTGCAGCATGTAGTTTTCATTTTATTTTTATTTTTAGTTGCATGCATTGCTTTGCATGTTTATATTAATTGAGATCCTGCATGTGTTTTTTTTTCAGCTTTTAATTTAATTTTGTCAGTCAAGAATGCTAGAAGAAGCTTGGCATGTTATTTATTATTTATTGTATTGTTGACATAGCCTATTGTCCTGTATGAACTGAATGGTCAAATAAATCATTTGAATCATTTGAATCATGTCAAACAAAATATATCTTTACGTCTAAAATTAAAATAAAACAATTGTGCTTTAATCAACTAGATTTACGAGTGACAATCTTCTTCAAACTTAATTAAAATTAAACCCATCAGCGACACATTCACGGACACTGTAGCATCTTTTGGCCAAGAGTAACCTTTTTACTTGCCTTTTGAAGCGGACCAAGTCCGGCTCCAGCTGAAGGGCCAGTAGAGCTGGGAGGAAGTAGATTGAAAAGTGTAATGCCGTTGTAATGGAAGTGTCTCTTAAAGAATGACGTTGAATGAGATGGCAATTTAAGATGTGAATTGTTACGTAGTGTATATGAATGAGTAGGTGAAGATTGATATTGGTGTAGGTTCTTTTTAATCAGAGTCAAAGTTTCTAAAATGTATATTGAGGGAAATGTTAAAATTTGTGATGAAGCAAAGTACTGTCTGCAAGATGTTCTTCTATTCAAACCAAAGATAATCCTAACTGCCTTCTTCTGGAGCCGGAAGAGGAAAGACGTTTTCCCACACTCACACCCCCACACCGGCACTGCGTATATCAGGTGTGGAAAAATTACTCCGTAATATGCTGTAATTAATACATCACACTTTGCAAACTTAGAAAGTTGGCGGAGGAGAAAGATTCCTGAAGAAATCCTTCTACACACAGTGCCAATATGGGTATGAAAGCGCAGGTTTCTGTCGAGCACCAATCCCAAGAACTTAACATGATCAGTTGCCTCGAGCTCAACATCATTCAAAAGGAAATTGTTCTTGTTTTTCCAGCTGAACTTATTGAAAAATTTACAAATTCAGTTTTCTTTGCATTTAGACTCAGTGAGTTGTTCTCGAACCACTGCATCATGGATCACGTTACTCCAATTGAGTAACGTTGGCAGTCACATGCACAGTACATTGTAGACATCATACTTAATTATATTAATTGGAACTAGGGGCTGAATAGGGGATTGTAATAAAGATATGAGTTAGTTGATTATTGAGTTAGTTATTAGTACCAACATAACAAAATGTTACAGCGTGTTTATAGCTGTCAAGCTGTGAAGGTCCGATTTTCCCAAACTAACTAAGAAGTAAGAAGGAGTAATTAGAACTAAAATGTATGTGATATTCTGAGAGAAGCTCATATAGGTAGTATAAATCCTTTATATAAAATTACCACTTTAAAAACGACAATATTAATATTTAGATTTAGAAGTTGCGGTGGACACATATTCAATAAATTATGAACACAATAATTAAAATTGAGG